TCCCAATGTCTGCGTATGCTTAAGCAGAATCTTTAAGTAATTTTTCAAGGAAATATTTTAAAATATTTGTCTTCTACTAACAGATATAAATATATGTGAACGGTTCTATACATATTCATTTAACAACAGCATTTCTTACCTTTATTTTGTTCTGCTGTTTGCATGTATTAAATCATTTGTATACACAACAAAGTAGTTAGGAGGAGCGGGGATCTGGCAGGAATAGGCCTTAAGCTGCCTGCAGTGTAGCTCTTGGTACTTTTCTGATACTGGTGTTCAGAGTTTGGCTGACTGCTGCCAACTCTGCACCTGCAGTGCTGCTTGATTGAAACTCTGCATGTATTCCCCTTAATAAGAACAAATAAATAATGTCTTCTGTTATTTACCAAACACCAGGATTACTTCAAAACTGCAAGTAGCAATCCCTTTTCTGTGCTAATATTCTGTCATTTCTGCCTCATGTACAGTGGATGCTCAGGCTTCATTCGTCAGCAGAAATGCCCTCTGTACCTCTGTGCTCTACCTTGGGCTTAACTTGCTATTTGGAACCTTTACTCAATGCATGTCTGGTATTTTGATTATGAATTGTCACATAAACAGAGTGATTGATGAAAGTAATTTACATGGAAGCATTTGTGGTGTTTCTGAACAAGAAAAAATATACAGAAGCACATGGCACTTAATTACGTTGCTTAACAATAAATGTCAAGTTAAACCTTTTTAAAAAAAGATGAATGCTATACTTAAGGAAAGTGCAATTACATTTCTGTGGTTTGAAATGTTGTACACAATGTATATATTAGAGGGGCAAAGATATTAACACTTCTGTACATGCAAAGGTGCTGACAGATTTCAGATGCTATAAGCCAGGCTTTTGTAACCGCTGTCCGCTTATTGCTTGCATGGGGAACTCGTTTACTGTAATGTGCCGTTAATCTGAGCTCATTTACTTGTATGCAACCACATTTGCATACAGACACAATTCTCAGAACTGATTGAGAACATGAGGAGTAGTGATTCTGATCTGGTAAATTGTTGCATATAAACAGGATTTGCATTCAAATTGGTGTTTTATATCACAGCCTGATTATATGTCCCATTCTAATATTGTCGAATGGATGGCAGTAGTAGATTTCAGAAGGCCACTCCTCAGATTATATGTTCCAGTTCAAAATTTAATTAAAAATGTCTTTCCCCCCTTTTTTTCTCCTTTGCTGAAATTTAGTAACAAACCTAGAATTTCTTCTCTCATTAGGCATGTACACTTCTACAACAAATCATTATACCTTCCAATTACATTCAATAATTTGTTTAATAACAGACTGCCATACTGCTTCCGTGTTAGTGGAGGTGCAGCTGAACTCCATAGTGTTCATCATCATCTTCTTGCAGAACAGAAGAAAGTAAGAGGAAGTCTACGGAGAGAAAACAGATGAGGTGCAGAGTTGTCTGAGCAAATCCATGTCTTGAGGACACTGCTTACTACTGGGCAGAAACATTAGTTCAGGTCTTTTCAGCAATTACAGCTATGTCATGGTGGTGCAGCTCTCCAATCTCACCTTGAATTACAAATGAAAAAGAAGAGAGTAAAATTGTGAGGATAACTGACTCCATCCAAAATGAAAAGCAAGGTTAGTTCTAATAAGGAGTGGTTTTCCAATCTAGTTTGCTAACTGACTTCCAGCAGTTCAGTGCCGCAGCAGTTGCATAATGCAGAGAGGTGCGTGGAGGCATCTGCACCATTGCCTCTTCTGAACTTGTGTGACAAAGCCTGTCTTCCTCCTACAGTGCACAGCAGCAGCACATCCTCTCTACTGCTGCTGGGATGGTGTAGCTTCTCCATTTTTCTGTGCTAGATTTAGAAGCTTTATAATGGAGCATAATTAATTTGATAAGGACACCTCATTTCTTTCTTTTTTTTTTTTAATCCATGAATTTGAACAAAATATATGAAATAAGATGGTTTCAATGCCATAAATTAAATAAAGCGTTATAATTTAATTGCTCTGGTAAGAGTATTTTTCCTGTTGCCTAGCAATGAGATTTACCATGAGATTCACCATGTGCTTAAGATTCCATTATTAATTTCTGTTTTCAGAGGTTTATAACGTTAATAAGAATCATTACTCATAGGGCAATCCAGAAAGTGCATGTTAGAAGTTATTTTCACTTTTATGGGTCACTTAGTAAAGAAACTTGAGGCAGAAAGCTCTGATGCCCACTGATTTCTGTACCCATTCTTCTAGATGTGGAAAGTTTTCAAAGCAACTTCTTGAATAACAGTTGTTTTGTGAAGCAGTAAGCTATTTATACGTGTGTTCTTTACTTTAAAATTTCTACATGGAGACATTTTTACCAAGGCAGCTACCTCTGCTTAGACAAGCAGCAACTGCTTTGTGCTCCCCCACAAAACTGAACATCTAGTAAAGGCTTTGAGCACTGGTGTTTAAGGTCTTCTCCGTTAGTGTTCCACACAGTAGTGGACTAGGTCTAGATATTTACTTTAGGGACCTGTAGTGCTTGCTAGGTAGGAGGATCACATCGAGCTTGGTGCAGGAGACTAGTGCAGGAAGAGACCAGAAAGTCACCTTGTTTCACAAAGGAGCTAGCTTTAAATTTAGGGCCATCTAGTGTATGCAAAACCAGACAGCTTTTACCAATGGGAAAAAAACCCCCAGTGTACTTATTTTTTTTAAATACAAATTGCCTCTAATAAGGGTGGGATTTTGATTGTCTTGTACTACTCCCATGAAGCATTGCTGTACCTAAAAGGACATTAATTTTTTGCTTATGGAGAAGAGGTCTTAAAACTAAAAAATAGAGAATATGATTAGTGGACTTATAAATTTGGATTTAACAAAAGATGCCAGGATCAGCCTTTACGAAGAGACAGGGGAAAAAAGGTATTTTGAGTTAATTTACTTTTTAAAAAGTAAAACTCTCTATACAGTAGTGTTTCAAAATGGTTGTGATTACTGTGAAAGATATGATTTTGCATATTGAGATTTTTATGCAAGTAACTATTTATAGAGGATCTGTGGGTTTAGTTGCCAGTCTTTAAGGAACTCGACTCCTGTTGTAAACTACTGCTTTTTAACATCCCTAATTTGAGTTTGTCACCTTTATAATGGTTAATTTTTAATTAAGAAACACAGAAATTTAAAGTTCATGCCTTCGAGTGAGCCAAGTGACTTTCACGGGAAGAGGAGGCATTCACCAGCACTGGCATTTATCTTGCTTTATAACTAAGCAAGATAAAGAAAAACAAAGTAAAAACCAGATTTTATTTTTTTTTTAAGTAAACTGTCTTCTCTACCCTACATGTGCTTATATTTTAGCACATACATTTTTGCACATATATGTAATCTTTATTTGGGTTTACATAGTCTTAATATGATTATGAATGCCAATTACTTTTAGAAATCTGCTAGGTATATGTCATTTTTTGTTGACAAAATACAGATAGATAATATAAAATAACATAGTATAGATAATATAGATCAATATTAAATATGAAAAAGTGAAGTGCAGTGTTTGCTGTGGTTAACATAAGTAGCATTTCCTGTTTAGCAAGACTGTCTTTGGCACCATTTAGTGCTCCTGCAGCTTTCGTATAGAAAATGAGAAAGGGGAGGTGTGCCTGGGAGTCCCTAATTTAGATGTCTATTAGAATTTGCATCTAACCTTCCCCATCCACCTTCTCCCATAAGTGCTCTGAAATCTTCCATCTTCATCAGTTTGCCTTGAAAAATCCAATTTCTCACTGGAGAGCTGCACTGGGTTACTGATCTGGATTTCACATGGCTTGTGCTTCCCCAGAAGATCATCATCCGTGCAAGAACTGAATGAAAATGAATGAGTGTTTCCCTGTAGGGTCTAGCACTTCAGGAAAACAACTGGGGGACTGGAAAAATGTCAATTGTTTTTGCTGTTAAATTGACACTGATGGAATGTGTAAAATAAAAGAGAAAGTAAAATTCTCTTCTTTGGTATTGTCCTGTATTAAAGCAGCTCATACTGTTGTATCTTATATATCAGAAACATACTCTATTTGAACATACCCATTTGTGGGTCTTTATTTTTAATGCAGTTATGATTTTCCAAAAATTCTACAGTGCAGAGACAAAAGACTTAGTATATCTTGGCCTTATATTATACAGTGTAGGCCTAGGACCATTTCTGTTCTCATGAAGAGAACACTTATTGCAGTATACAGTGCTCTAAAGAGAGTTATTTGGCTCTCCTGGAAATCTTTCCTATGAAAGAAGGTAAAGAGTCATAGCATTCTCATACCTAATATCTTTAGCCTAATCTTTAATGGTCACTCTCATGCCTAGCAACCAGTATACTTTTTTTATTGTGTGATCTTATATATGTTGTAAGTTTGAATAATTATGTCTTGTGATTTTCGTTTAACAAATCTGTTGTGGGTTGGTTGTGTTTTTTGTTCCTCTTCCCCTCCAAGCTCTTTTTACTAGAAAAAAAATCATTATACATATCTCTACCTTTGTAACAACAAACCAGAAAAATTTTACTAAAGTTTTCTACGGAGTTTCAAAGAGATGTTAAGAAGCAAGCAAAATCGGTTTTGAATTAATGGAAACAATTTCTAAGCTGCATTGGTTGCACAAAACCTGGAGTTTTAGCCTGAATTTTACCTAACATTTGCTTCTAACCTGTGATTAAGCATCTGCAAAGTAAAAGTCTTAAATTAAGTTCTTGCTACTTTTTTTGGATGAAAGATTTCAATAAGGGATTATGCTCATAAACTTAATTAAGTTGTGCTCACAGTTTTGAGTGATCTGCAAATACTTCATGTCTTAGAAAAATGCCTTGGTCCTGTACTGAAAGTGTGACTAAATGGGCGTCTTTTGGGGTGTCCTTGGTTCGTTTGTCTTTTGCGTTACAGTAAACAAGGACTACAATAAAACATAAAGTGCCTTAAGTAAAAGCATTTCAAACCTCCAGTATGCATTTTTATTGTTGTCTTCTAGGTTGACTGGGGTCAGCTGGACTATTTAGTAATTGACATGCCACCTGGGACTGGAGATGTACAGCTGTCAGTTTCACAGAATATTCCAATCACAGGTACATGTCTTTCTTGACTGTTTTGGAGATTTGAAATTATTAAGTCTGGTAGCTTTAGAAAAATATTATTTTAAAATGCTGTTCAAAAATACTTTGAATTGTTTTGCTAACACACTAAGAAACTATTGTGTCAGTTGTGTGGTGATGAAAAATGCTATCAATGATTTTTAACATGTTAGCATTATGACTGTATTACTTTGTTTTAAACTAACTTGCAAAAAGATTGAGAAATATAGGAGTACTCTTGAGGGAAAGGCAGTCATGCCAAACACTGGCAAGGTTAGTAGTAGAAAATATTTTGTCTGTATCCACTGCATAGTAAAGCTAATAAAGCAGTTTGTCTTCATGATTGTTTTTTAATTGGAAGCTGACAGTGTAGTTAATGTACACCTTTCATTCAGATAAACTATGCAGCACTGTAATACGGTAATGCATTCTTTTTCTTCTTTTATTCTTATACTTTTTGTAGGGGATTTAAACTTCTTAATCTTGAGCTATGTAGGCTGCCCTCTGGAGTCAGAAATACTGCTTCTGAAAGAATGCTGAGCATCTCATGAGATGTAATGGTTTATTACCTGTCTGACATACTTCAACAGAAGCAGTTTGCAATAGCCAACTTAATCAGTGCTAGGAACTCAGTGGTAAGAGAGAAAAGCAATCCTTACAGTTCCAGGAATAATTCAGTAATTACTGTGGCTCTTCACCAGGAGGGTAGGGCAGTGCTAGAACATGTTACCCAAAGAGTCCATGAGATCTCTGTCCTTGACAGCTGTCCGGATTGTACTAGACAAAGCCCTGGCTGGCCCTGTCTGGTGTTACCTGTACATGACCTCCAGAGGCCTTTTCTAACCAGAAATTCTGTGATTCTGAGTTATTAAAGAATCAGTGGGACAGTTTGCTCCACTTTCTGGTGATAGCACAAAAATATGTTGGTACAAACCTAAAATGGGAGCATCTTTTGCTGTTCTTACTCTTTTCTGATTGTAGATTAGCTTGTGCACAGGCAAGCCCTCATTCCCCCTGATGCTCCTTTCTCTCTGCCCTTTGATGGCAGTAACGCACGGGATGAAGTCACTAAACACTAAATTTGTCAAACTATTTTACTTGCATGTAGAACTCTTACCAGGTTGCCTGATAACTTTAGTGAATAAAGAGTTGTATATCTCCAAAAGTTAATAGGATAGGATGGAAGAGTTAGCTATGGTTACAAATAGAAAGACTGGTAGGCATTATAGACATGCCCATATGTAAACACACTAAAGCTAATGGAATTTAGGATATACATCCCAGTTTCACAGCAAAACCATCACCACTGTTACAGCGCAGTGAAGTCTACAGGAATGAAAGGAGCCCTTAAACAACCAGGCGGCGCCTTGTTTCTTTTCCTTAACACTGTCATGTCTCATACATGGTAACCACAGTTGCTTATTTATCTACAAGCTAAAGCTTTTGGCAAATTGTTATAACTTAGTGCTAAGGCTGTGTGGTGGTATCTCATGATCTTCCATGATGCCAAGTTCAGAAAAACTTCACATTTGAGTTTTACATGTCAGAAGATTTAAGGCACATGCTAACTCAGCCATAACCCTGTTGCCCCAGAATTGTTAACAGCCATGGAAGGTTCTCTCTGCTGTCTGTGGTTGTGTTACGTGGTGGAAGGGAGCAGAACAGAGCTGTGATGAAGGATTTAATTTTTATTTTTTTTTTCCCATAAGAAGCAGAAGTGGAAGCTTCTAGTGCCTTAGCTTATCTGTGACCTGGAGCATATGACGTAAAGCAAACCATGACTCATGGCTTTTCTGACATTTTCTGTGCAAGTGTGCGCTTTTAGAACTTCCTAACTGAAGATAGGATTTTGATTTGAATTCTGAAATGGCTTCACATTGTCACCACAGTTGCTCAGTCAGCTTATTACTTCATCAATCCTAACTTCATAACATTAGGAGTGATAGTAGCACTTTAGATTTGTCTTTCACATTAGTTGGTTTTGTTGAGCATGTTGAGGTCAACTCTTCCAATTTAAAAAAAAAAGTGTACTGTGCTTTTGATGAAGACAAGCACAGCAGACAAGGCCTGGTAACTTCTATAATTCCCTGTATTCTTACTGGCTCAATGAATTTTAGTGACTTTCTGTTGTGTATTGTGGGTGTTTTCCATTGTCAGTGGAAGAGCTTCTTTTTGTGTGTTAGAGCTTGAACTGTGCTTTCTTCTTTTATTCTTGTTACTTGGTTTCTGTCTCTTTGACAGTCCATAGCCTTGTTTACCATGCTTTTATTTTCTTCACCTTGTTCCTTTCAGGGGTACGAAAGACAGTTTTACAAATTGCGATGATGATGTCTTTGGAGCAGTCTACAGAATTCTGCTGGTTTTGTGGGCTCCATCTTCATTTGCAATTCATGTTTCTAAGCTGTGTGTTCTCTTTTTTTTTTTTTTTGCAGAAAGTATTTGGTGTTTTGCCATTCTGTTCTGTCTCCAGTTTTCTTGTTCTTTCTTTCTCCTTTGATATTAGTGGCATAATTTCTTTCTTTTTACTCCTAGACAGCATGTGCATCTGAGTTACATTTTATTTAGAAGTGCATTATCTAGTTTGCATGAAAGTTGTACTTTGATTTGCATGCATGCTTATGTGAGATACAGTATTTGCATTATGGTTTCTTCATTATTTATCTGTGGCTTCGTAGGGATAGACAGTGTAGAAGATTTTTATTCTGCCTCTAAATAAATATACAAAACCTGCACACATGTTTTTGCCAGCCACTTAATGTTTTTTCTGTGAGTGTGAGAAAGAACACGGGTAAAGATGTTTTTGTTTAGGGGCAGCTTTGCCCAGATGGGGCATGAAAACCAGCAGCATTGCATTGCAATATCTGACAATAAGAGGACAGAGAGGATGTGTGAAATGGTATTGAGTTTTAATTTTAGAAGACTTTTTTTTTTACCCTGCATCACAGGTACCCTAACTTTCTTGAGTCAAAAAGAGATTAGAGCAATAACTAACGGATAGAAGCAAACATAACAAAATATGTTTCCAACCTAGTTGATTGTATGTCTTATAATTCTAGTTGTCATTAAAGAGAATATCAGTCTTGCTGGAGTGACAGTTTTGTGTGGGTACTTTTCCTTCTTTAAAGGAAGATGAAACAGGAAACTACCAAGACTTTCATTTTTTATTGTATTATTTTTAGTCACCTTACAAGGAGATGCATCTTATTTAGCATATTATTCTTTAATCATCTGTAGCTTTTCTCATGTTGTAGTCATTTCTCAACAGACTAGTAGATGAGAAATTACATAGTAGCTTGAAAATGTGATACATATTTCTGCTCAACCACCATTTCTCTCTTCAGATGCAAGTTGGCTTTCCAGGTATAAATCCACAGTCAGTCTGGAGAAAAAGGCTTTGTTTATGGTCTGTTCTTTCTTCATTAGTATTTAGTTCTATTTCTTCACTTCTACTTTGTTCCTCTGTTTAATCCTTAGCATAAGATGTGTAGAAGTAGGTTCTTTATCATGTATTGAACATGCATGCTTGGGAAAATTGAGGTGTCTTTAGATGTTTTTCAGCTGAAACAGGGGGGTTCAGATGACGTTACAATGTTTGATATCAAGATACAGTGTGAACTACAGATACTGTGAAGAGTAAGGCTTGTGGTTCTTTGCATTACCTAGTTGCTAAATTCAGAAATCTAAGTGTGTGTATTTATTTGATTTTTTAGGTAAAGGAACCATAAATCAAGTTAATAAAATCAGAGGTGGAGGATTAGCCTGCTAAAGATCTGGAGAGAAATTTATCATTTTCTCCCTTTAGAGTTTGAAGGCTGTGGGCAGCTGCAAGGGCATCTCTGTTGAGAGGTAGTCTTAGGGCCTTGCACACGTTTCTTCTTCATGGAGAAGCTGCATTGTGGGGGCTGACTATTAAATAAATTAGACTGTCTACTGACCCTTCTTTATTAATGTTGAAGTGAAGGCTATGTTAGTGAAGCATGACAGCTTGACAGCTCTAGAGACTGACACTCTGTCTCAATTGACAGAACCAACTCCAGGTTAATACTGGAATTGTTTCATTTGCTAAACTTTGTCATACCACTCTTTTCTTTGAATATCAAGATGCCATGGCAGTGAAAGCCATTAGAAATATACACCTGTCTAGTGGGAAACAAACTGAGACAACCAAATAATTTCACATCTTACTGAAAAATCTTAATAAATACAGCAGCAGGCATTGGCCTGAACTGTGTTTCTACAGGAGACCTAAAGGTGAAAGGCTTCATGTTTTATTTCAGTGTCTTAATTTTCCTACCTTTTGGAAATAGCTCTTTTTCCCCCACAAAACATGTATTATTATAACCTTATAATAATAAGCTCTAAAAAGTCTTTTAATAAGAATCAGGAAAGAATTTCTTCTAGTGAAGTGAAAGCAATGTGAATGCTAGTTTATGTTTCTCTCAAGTTCTGTAAAAGCAGAAGCACTGCCATTCCTAGTCCTACAGGGAATGACTTTTCGTCACCTTTTAGAATGGAGTCACCTATCTTACAGCAGTATGTAGATCTTAATTATCTCCTGAATGCCTTTTGCAGGTAAGGCTGAAATATTTGCCAAAGCAGTTTTTGTTACTTCAAATACGAATTTTCAAAGAATTGTGATTAAAAGGGTTTCTTTTGATGGCAGTGTTCTGACAGATAGGTTTAAATAAAAACAAAAAGCATATTTCGCTCTGTACTGATTAAGCATTAAGAGTCTAACTTCTGTTCAGACACGTCCATTGAAGAGGAAAGAGTAGAAGGATGCCACCAACTTGAAGACACTTGGCATTTTAAACTCTGAATGAAATGTGACATACCAAACTGGTGAACCAAACTATTTACTCATATTTATGTCAGTGTCACACAGACCAGGGTGTAGGCTTGTGCACCAGTATGTGGTATTTAGGACAGTTGGATCCTGCCTCAACATAAAATAATGTATAAGAACAGGAAATTCCAGGTGATGATTAGACTAT